AGTGAATTGAGCTGGGTTCGATGGAACCTATTTGTTGGATTACATCGAACCCAGATTTGCTGGGTTCCGTCGAACTTCCGATGGGCAAAGAAGCAATTGTTAGTGGTAATGTGAGACCCATTTGGATGGATTTGGTGTGTTTTCGCCAAGTAGCATGTGACATGGCAAAAGTTTTATCCATGTCATCAGTTTTTGAAGTTTTGCTCTCCACATCATCAAAAAAAATATAAAAAATGCCACCTAAGCAGAGTTAACAGCCCAAATTAACAGAAGGACTAACGGAGTGCATTTCGTATAGTTGAGGGATCAAAAAGTGCAAAAAATTGTTAAGGGACCAAAAATGTTCATTTCTTAAAGTTAAGGGACCAAATTAAGCATTTAACCATAGAAAAACTTCTTCCTGAAAAAAAGGGGCTTAAAAAAAAAACAGCCCCAAAAAAAAAAAAAAGCCAGCTATGGAGACAGGCGATTGTTTCTTCAAAATTTCACTTGCTCTTTCAAGTGGTGTATATCAGAATTAATTTACTTTTTTGCATAAAATATGCAAGAAAATTAATTCTAAGGGGGCATTTGTAGACATTAAAAATTTTGTTAAGGTTAAAACAAATTTACCCTAATAAAATCTTAGAAGTTGGGGTAATAAATCTTTAAAGAGATATTTTCTCTTTTAATTTAAAAAATACATATATTAAATTGACCAAATTATCCTCAAAACGGAGGGTATTTGAGGTTATTTGACAAAAAAAAAGGAAGGAAGAAAAAAAAAAGAGGAAGAAAAAGAGAAAAAAAGGAAGAAGGAGAAAAGGAGAGGAACAACAACTACAAGCTTCAAGTCTTGTCAACAATTCTCGAAGTTTCAAACCCCCCAACCTCTTGCCAAAGGTAAGCTCTAAATCCATATCAAAAAGAAAAAGTTTCAAGTACAAACCTTAAATCCCTTTAAGGACAAGAACGAACTTAAGCCTTTACCCTTCTAAATTCAGTTGTTAATCAGAGAACCGTGTTGTTTTAGAACGTGTTACTCCAAATCAGAGATTGTTTCTCATTTTCCTTCAAAATTCATTGTAATTTGAATTTATTTTGCAAATCAATATATATTATTTGATTTTTGCAGATTTTGTGACTACACAACAGTATATCAAAATGTTCAAAATTAAGTATAAAGTCCCTACTAATGTCTACCATTTTCAAGAAAAATTACCTAACTTATTAGGAAAGAATAAGATTAGAACAGAGTTAAAATCAAATTGGGTATATGCCTTTTGGAAAACAATTTCTAGTGCCTCCAGTCTAAGTTGACATATACAGAATTGCCATTCGAATTTGTGTAAACATGGGTAACTAGGATTGACAATCAACGACCATATAAGGCATTTTGTTTCCTTCTTAGACCATTAATCAAACCGCTGGTTCGCATAAACAATTGTCACAACTATCAGGAAAGGGATTGTGTTATCACACATATGATTTGTTGGAAATTTCTCCATCTAAAAAGCTTTGGAAGCAGGCTTCTTGATTGTAACCTGTTAGAAGAATTCGAGGGACATGCGTCCAAGCAATACTCATCATGAATTAATTAATTGAAACAACAAAGGAAAACGAAATAACGGAGAACCGAAGCCTAAAAGAACAAACAACTCAAAAAATATATTAAAAAATTGAAACTAAAATAGAAACATCACCAATTTGGATCATCGTAGGAAGAAATCATGTCCCCATTGTGGTTTATCGTCGGGGAAATCAAATCTTCGATGTGGTTTATCATCCGAAGACCTGATGGTGGTGTTGGGAAAGAGGAGGGAACGTCAAAGGTGAGAAAGAGCGGTGTTAGGAAGGGAGGAGGTTAAGGTTATGTAGGGCAGGGGATTCTATGGTTAGCATATCTTTAGAATAGTCAACTAAAGCCCACAGTTCCTATTTATTCCATGGATATCCCTCCGTGTTTAACTTTTTTTCCCTTTCAATTAAGGGCCCCCGTGTTTTCCCACTACCGAAAACAACTTTTGATCGTTTTCCCTTTTTTTTTTTTTGAATCAATAAAAATTAAGATTTTCTATAATTAAAATAATAGGATTAATAATAAAAAAACTAAAATTTTTTATTAAATTATGAAATTATTATATATCAGTTTTGACTCTTAAAAAATTAAAATTTTAATTTACATTTAGAAACTAAAATCTTAATATAAAATTTAAAAATTTATCTTATTAAATATTGATATTTAGAATTAAAAATTAGTTATATATTCTAATATAATTTTTTTTAAATTTAAATATCAACATTTAATAAAATAAATTTTTAAATTTTGAATTAAATTTAATTAAAGAAAAAGATATCGTTTAATATTGAAACTTCAATTTTTTTAAAATCAAAATTGATATGTACTTTTTTTTATAAATTATTATATAAAAGATTTATTAAAAGTATTTAAATAATTTTATAAAAAATTTTAATATTTAAAATACCAAAATATCTTGCTTGTTACTTCTTTCTCTCCTCTTTCTAATGCCGAACACACCCCTAACTTTCCGCCAACCCTCATCTTCCTTCATATTGAGCCACTGCCATGTCCTTTTTAGATAAAAAAAGTTCCTAAACCACAAATCTATAAGTTTACTATATTATAAAATTATTAAAATTATCAATAAATTTTAAATGAATGTTTAATAAGCTTCTTAAAATCTTTAATAAGACCTTTTTAAATATTCATAACATTTTAAATAAATATTTAATAAATCTTTCTGAACAATCCAAAGCCTACCTAAAATTTAGGAAACTAATATTCCAATTCAAATAGTTTACAGGAAATGATTTTGGGACAACTTTTTCGTTACATATTTTGTACAATTTGATTTATTATTTATATGATTGATTATTTTTATTCATATGATTGATTATTTTTATTCATGTAGATCTCATGATATTAAATACATCAATTTATTTAATGACATATCAAAGTTGTATCAACACCTTTACATAATAATAAAATAGCTTTTTTGGCCTTTCAGCAAAAAAAAAAAAATCTACACCTTCGTTTTATATTATAATTAATAATTAATATTGTATAATTAATACATTCGCTCTTAGGTGTAGTATATTTCAATTCAAATACATCGTATTTAGTTTCAATTTAAATTCTAATTAAATTTGAGTTTTCATAATTTATTAATTATAAATTCAATTCAACTTCTAATTTAATTTGGACTTAAACTTTATTAATTTTTGCTATATTATAAAATTATTATATTTTTAAATAAATTTCAAATAAAAATCTAATGGGCATTTTAAAATATTTTATACATACAAAATAAATTCTTCAATAACTTTCAAATAACTATTCAATGGGCTTTTCTGCACATGGGGAATCATTAGAGAAGACGGATACTTTTCATGCAATTAGTGAGAGTCGAGCTTATGACCAACTGAACCCAAATATTAAAGCTCGGGGACGAACTCTTAGGCTTTAAGAACCTGTTCAATTATTCAATGGGCTTTGTAGTATAAAAGAACAAATATTTTAATATAAATATGGGCCTATTGCTTACTTTGAATTAAAAAAAAAAAAAAAAAACTTACTTTGGCATTGCCACATTATAATATAACAATATTAATTAATTAGTATAATAATAACAATTGTATAAAGCTTACTTCGACATTTCCATTACAATACAATTTCACTTCAATTTTGCTTTAACTACTTTAATTTTTTTTAATAAAAAGGGTATTTTAACTCATGTACTTTTTGATATTATTGAGATATACCCTTCAATTTTTTTTCATAATATTTAAATTTTGTCACTTATATATTGAAATAAATTAATTTACATACTTTTTGATTAAAATAAATTAATCTAAATTTAATGTATGATGTCATGAAACATCAATTTACTATAAAATCTAATTATTTACCGTTAATACATTGCTAACTTGACGTACGTGAGACCCATTTAGTGATATAGTATGATGTGGACTATATTTTTGCTAGCATGGTCCTAATTTGCATACCTGGACTAATTATTTCCCCAAAACCTCACCCACTCGAAAGCTCCCACCATTCACGGAGACAATCTTTATTTCCCAAAAACTCACCCAAAAATTTGGAATAGTCATTCTTTGTTCCGATGTCTGATTGGACGATAACAATATTCTTCCAAATTTCTGAATTTTTTTTTTATTAGTTGAATAAACCGAATGAATCTGTCAGCCGTCAGCTGTACAAAATGATGTCCCTCGTTGCCAACATTGAAGACTCATTTTTGCAATTGGTCTCAATGATCTGCTCCAGCGAGGCACACGGTCGGGATGAGAAGCTAATAACCGGCATCTCGTCTGCCCGGCTCACTTTGTCCGCGAAGTTCATCCATAGCTAAGAGGATCGTAGCTAAAATCGGACGAACTATGCTGCTTAGGACCTCCTTGCTTCCTAATTCTGGCGATTAGATTCTTGCACCGGTCCTTGATCTCCAGTTCATGCGCTATCGATTTCAGCCAACTGTACGGCGACCTCAACGTCCTCGGCTTTAACTCGTCCAGGTCTATCGTCGCTGCCTCGTTGTGATTCGTCATACGGAAACAGCAAATCGATGATTGCAGCTTATCCTTGACCCTCTCGTTCGGTGATGGAAAAGAACATTCATCAAAAATGGTGAGAAATGGAAGAAATGAGTTTTTTTTTTTTTTTTTGGGCCTATTTGGATCTTTGTGGAATAATGGCAAGAGCTTTCGAGTGGTGAGGTTTGGGGAAATAAGTAGTCCAGATCAACAAATTAGGGCCGTGTCAGAAAAAAATATCGCGCATCATACTATGTTATTAAATTGGGTACTACACATGCCAAGTCAGTAATGTATTAATGATAAATAATTGGGTTTCACGGTAAATTGAAGTTTCATGATGTCATACATTAAATTTGGATTAATTTATTTCAATCGGAAAGTATGTAGGTTAATTTATTTCAATATATAAGTGACAAGCACAAATATTTTAGAAAAAAGTTAGAGGGCATATCTCAACAATATCGAAAAGCTTATGGGTTCAAATACCTTTTTCACCATGTTATTTCAATTTGAACTTAATCATATTTTTAGTAATAATCTTTTCCATATATATCTTTAACATTATATCTTATTTTACTATATTATAAAAATAAAAATTTATAATTATAGTCTTACGTAACATTGTAAACTTACAACTTTATAGCTTTATATAATTGGTTATTTCATTTAAAAGTTCAATCGTGATATTATATACATCTACTTATTTAATAACGTATCATATTTGTTTAATATTATGTTATGATTATAAGCTTACAATTTTACATAGTATTATAACTATAACACTGCTGATTATAAAAATTATTAAAATCTTTAATAAATTTAATAAATTTTGACTAAATACCTAATGAAACTTTTAAAATCCATCTAAATTTCTTTTAAAATTTCAAATAAATATCAAATAGATACTCAATGGGTCTTTTAAAATCCTTCTAGAATATCAAACAAATACCTAATGAACCTTTTAAAGAAAATTCATTAAAGGGTTGAAACCTAATTAAATTAAATTAATACTCTTTCAAATTTTTTGATAAGTACGAAATATACAATTCCTTATTAAATTAATTCCCAATAAAATCTTACTATATGATAAAAATTATTAAAATCTTCAATAAATCTTGAAGAATTAATCAATGGGCTTTTTGAAATGTCTCTACACTCCAATAAATACTCAGTGAATCTTTTAAAGAAAATTCATTGTGATACTGATAATTGAAGGCTCATTAAATTAAATTAATACCCTTTCAAATTTTTTGGAGAGTACAATATATATAATTGTTGTTAAATTAATGCTACATATGATAATTCTTAATAATACTCTAATTATATCAAACTTCTTACTATTTTTTCTCAAATTGCATTTCAATTAGCATATAATAATCTGACTTCTATTTCTATATATTATTAAACTTGAAACAACTTACCCAAATATATAATATGGCTTCTACTTCAATTATATAATGTGTTTGGCATAAATACATATTGTATTATATTTAAGTATAATGGATGTATCTCTAAATAATGAATTGTAATCCATTATTATGGAATTAAGGGAAAATAGTTAAGATGTAAATAATTCTAAATAAATGTATTTCTAAATAATGATTACTAAAATTTCAAAAATTATAAATAACTACAAATTGTAGTATATATAATCGATATATATCAACTTAAAAGACCAATTTAAAAGTATGAAAAATGCTATAAATGAACCATTTTAGCATAAGTAGGAAGCAAGAGAATGAATTTACAAGGAACCTACACATAAAATAAAATTAAATAGTCTTTGTGAGAAACCAAAAAAATGCTGACACTCTCTTTCTCAAAAGTCTAAATTATCATAAAATTATAAATATGGTGTCACGCCCTAGAACTCAAATGCAAGGACGTGGCAGACGCCGTACACTTGTGAGAGGATCCCACAAATGCACAAAGTTCAAAACTTATCATACCACAATCTGATACCACAAAATCTAAAGATAGACTTCTAAAATTTGCCCTGATATCATAAAATCTCCAAATAAAAACTAGCTTACAAGATCATGATTTATATCTAAAATCCATGTTCAATTTACAAAATGGCTAGCCTTCTAACTCGTTGCTCCCCTCATTTTTCCCTGTCCTTGACTTCGCTTCCTAAAATGATGGACAAGAAAAAACTATGAGATAACTCAATAAGTAAATATAGATAGCCCATGGGTAAACTTTAAGCATGCCAAATAAACAGTTTAACATAACAAAACGTTCAATGATAAACCGTTAATACATAATCAAATTCAGTTCAATAACGAAGTGTTCAACGACAAATCGTTAATGCAGAAGAAAATTCAGTAGTAGTATCATCTATAAGTCATGGCCAGCGTTTAACACCCGCTGACAGGCGTCAGAAATTACCAATGTGTTTGCCCATTGGCAGGCGTCGGAATTTACCAATGTATTCGCCCCGTGACAGGCGTCAGAAATTACCAATGTATTCGCCTAGTGGCAGGCGTCAGAAATTACCAATGTATTATCACATTGGTAGGATTACAGAATGAACCGATCATATCAGTAAACATGTCGACATGTGCTAGCGTTTACTCCCACTAGCGGGGGTCAGAAATCATGACTATATCAGAGACAAAACCATGCAGGATTTACAGAAAACTCTTAAATTCACAATCAATCTCAAATTCCAAAAATAACCGAAAAATTTCCATGTGGGCATGGATTTAATAGGAAAATCATAATTTACAAAAATTCTCAAATCATCAGAGTAGTTCAGTAAATTCCAAGTGGGCATGCTCTACTCAATGAAAATGAAAATAATTTTATTTCAAATCAATCATGCTCGGTGCTAATAAAATCAATTTAAACCTTACAACCATCTCAAAAACAATTTAAAACATGCTTTGAAATCAAAGAGTATTACCATAATTTACTTATCTCAAATCCGTAATACCAGAAACTCAAGCCAAGTGCTCGGGTGACAGAACACTCAAGAACCTAATCAAAATACCCCAAAATTAATACCGTGCTACCACAAATTCAAAGTGAAAACTTCATTATGATCACCCCCTAATCAAGATGCTATTTATATTAACCTCCACATGACCGGACACCTCTAATTTCATTCTTATTTTAAAAACTAATTATTTAATCCTATTCCATGATTGCCGACCATTAATCCCAATAGGCAAATTTTATTTCTTTATTCTTCTTCTATCCAAAATTTCAGCACACAACATCAAATTGTATATTTATATATATGTATATACATAATTACACATATACAACATTTCCCAAATTCATGGACAGAACATGGAGGAACCGACTTTGGCAAAAATTGGCTAAGTCACGGGATTTTTCCATATAAACCTCACAGCAACTAAATCAAGAGATTTCTACATGAATTAAACTAAAAACACAACTTAAAGCACTACCAATTTCTTCTATATTTCGGCAGAAATTGGACAGTACAGGGGCAGCAATCACATGGATAATTTTAGTAATTAAATGGGTAAAAGTTGAATTCAAGGGGTTGCCACATACCCAAAATCTTCCGACAAGTAGCACCGAGTCCGGCTAGGAAGGAAGCCGACGGGAAGAAGAAATGGAGGAACTCACGGCAACTACCAAATTCAAGAACCCATAACAAAATTAGAGTAACCCAAGCCAAATTAAGGCAGAAAAGATGGATTCCATGGTTGTTGCTTACCCAAAAACCGAGAAATTCACACCCACACCAAGCTGAAACCGACGGTAGGGGAGGAGGAAGGCAGCTAGATCTGGGATTTTTCTTGCTTCAAGAGGCTTCTAGGTCCTAATTCTTGTTCTTAGACAAGAAAGCAAGGGAAAAACTTAAGCTTTTGCCAATTTTCTTGAAGAGAGGGCGGTCGGCAGCTTGGGGGAGGCTTGTTGGGTTGTAGGGGGGTCGGGAGGAAGAAGATAAGCAGAACACGTGACTGGGTGAGGAAGGAAAAAGAAAGAAAGAAAAAGGAAATTTTTTCTTTGCCTACCTATCCAAATTCTCTTTTAAGTCCCTGAACTTTGAAAATTTCTATTATTAAGGTGAACAATATTATTTCCTCACAATTAAGCCCCTAACTTAAATGATAAAATTCTCGAAAATTTGGGATATTACGTTCACCCTCCTAAAAAGGAGTTTTGTCCCCAAAACGCAAATTGAGGATCATCTAGACTAGTGAATGGTTTCGCACAAGCCAAGGCAAAACAAATGCCTCATCAACTCTTTATGAATAGAACATAGCCTACCACACTTCCATTGCACCACTTTGATATCAAACCACAACTAATCGTAAAAGCAGAACATTAACCACTTATCCGGATTTACCATGAAACAAGCTACTAGAGGCTGGGGTGTATGAGAAGCACAAGGAATAGAAATAAATCCTGCCAAAGCCACAAAAGAACAATTGTGAGGTTACGCTATGAACCAAACACAAAGATGAGTTGGCAAAGTATGGCATGGATTTAAAGACAAGTACAACAAAATTTTGAACTCTATCAAAGACGAATAAGCATCCAATGGAAGTACGAATCATGAATGAATGAATGAATGCATGGATGCCTTATACATTCCATCAAATGACATGTAAAATTTCCAGAATAGCACCAGAATAACACCAGAATGAAATCAGTGGAAAATATGAATGCTTGGAAGAATACTGGAACATAAGAGTGCAAGGTAGAATGCCTCAAAAATTCAGCAACAAAATGACATTCACCAAGAATCAAGATCAAATTTAACCAAGGAATCAAAATTGAGAGACAAGAGTTAACCATGAAACAAGCAATAGAATTCAAGGATTAGGCTCATAAAAGATATTTCAATAATGACAACCAGAACATGGATTCAAGAGCAGATATAACCAGGATGTTAAGATCTAACACCCCAAGTAACACGAATTAATTAACAGAATAATCAATAGTGGGGATCAGGATACTTGAAGATTACTATCTTCTAATTAAAAGGGCAACAAAAATCAAAGTAGCCAGATAAAGGAACCATTTCTCTTGGAACAAAACTCTAGGGCATTAGGTACTTCAAAGACTACCCCTTCACCTCGTAGCCCATGGAGGCTAAGCAAATTTACAATCAAGTCATCCTAGACATCCTAGAGTCCAGTCAAAGCTAAGACATCAAGAATACAAAGATTAACACTTGCAAGAGACAAGAATTAAGATGCCTCATATAGGTATTTTCTAATAATCATCACCCCTCCTAAAGAGGTGTCAATATGAACAAAAATAAAAAATCAAGAAGATCAACATGTATACTAAAATAAGAACTAGCAGAATATGCAGGATTTGAGCAAGAGCAGTATACAGAATTTGAACAAGAGCAAGGGTCAAGACAAGAATCGTTCTCAATGACAATTCAAAATAGATTCCAAAAACCAAATATCAAGTGAATTTCAAGAAAAGGATGCTAACATGACTTTACTCTAGGCAAGGTTCGAGATAAAATTCCAAGAACAGTGCAAGAATTAATTTTAGACAAGTATCAAGATAATGAGGATTTCAATAATTATTATCCATTTCCTTTGGATTTCAGTTTCAAGAACAAGTACAAAACAATCTCAAGAAAGATTCAAGATGGATTTCAAGAATTTTAAGCAGTTTCCAGGTATCAAGAATGTAGAGATTAGCAACAATAGAGTTTAACTTTATGACAGGTTGCCAATCTTCACAAAAACATGGCAAATTCAATTGAATTGATCACTGTTTTTGATTAACCAATACAGAAAAATGAGCCACATGAAAAGACCATGAAGCTTCAAATGGAAAAAGTGAAACTTCACAATAAGACTTTTAGAAAGATAATGAGCAGCGAAATTACCAAGTTATCCAGCTCCTAAAATGCATCTAGAAAACACACAACATTTGCTAAAATAGCCTTGAATCTCTTACAAAGTAGAGGGTTGCCCATCTTCCACTGGTCATGTGACAAACAAAGCAAATTTCTCAACTAGCTATGCTATAGAGACCAACAGGATCAATAACAAAAGATCTCTGCAACTCCCCAGATTTCACAATAGTGGCAAAAGAGCATATAAAAATTCTATTCAAATAACAAGTCTAAACAAGTGTAAACTATCAGAAAATGACCAAGTTTCAAAACAAGGTCTTAAGAACATGGCGGACAAGATTAATTTCATGAATCTACACAAGGTATGAAGGTAGGAAACAAGAACAATTAGATTACCATCTCATCAAAATGAATTAGAAAATTCAGGCAACATGAATCAGAATCGTCCTTTATATAACCCCATCGCTCATCTCACCACGGTTCTAAAATCCATTGGCCAGCCAAGTTCTAAACAAATCTTAGGTATTCAATTAAACCTATGTATTTAATTAAACCTGGACTTTGATATCACTTAATCTCAAGATATTTAATTTAACCCTAAGCTCTGGTACCACTAAATCTGTCACGCCCCAAAACCAAAATCCAGGGACATAGTAGACGCCGTACACTTGTGAGAGGATCTCACAAATGCACAAAACTCAGAACTTATCATACCACAATCTGATACCACAAAATCTGAAGATAAAATTATAAAATTTGCCCTGATATCATAAAATCTTCAAATAAAGTCTAGCTTACAAAATCATGATTTATATATAAAATCCATGTTCAATTTACAAAATGGCTAACCTTCTAACTCGTCACTCCCCTCGTTTTTCCCTGTCATTGACTTCGCTTCTTGAAATGGTGGACAAAGGAAAGCTATGAGATAACTCAGTTAGTAAATATGGATAGCCCGTGGGTAAAATTTAAGCATGCCGAATAAACAGTTTAACATAACAAAACGTTCAATGATAAACCATTAATACATAATCAAATTCAGTTCAATAACAAAGTGTTCAATGACAAACCATTAATGCAAAAGAAAATTCAGTAGTAGTCTCATTTATAAGTCATGGTCAGCGTTTAACACCCACTAGCAGGCGTCAGAAATTACCAATGTGTTCGCCCATTGGCAAGCATCAGAATTTACCAATGTATTCGTCCAGTAGCAGGTGTCAGAAATTACCAATGAATTCGCCCAGTGGCAAGCGTCAGAAATTACCAATGTATTATCCCATTGGTAGGATTACAAAATGCACCAATCATATCAGTAAACATGTCGACATGTGCTAACGTTTACTCCCACTAGCGGGGGTCATAAATCATGACTATATCAGAGACAAAACCATGCAAGATTTACAGAAAACTCTGAAATTCACAATCAATCTTAAATTCCAGAAATAACAGAAAAATTTCCATGTGGGCATGGATTTAACAAGAAAATCATAATTTACAAAAATTCTCAAATCATCAAAGCAGTTCAATAAATTCCAAGTGGGCATGCTTTACTCAATGAAAATGAAAATAATTTCATTTCAAATCAATCATGCTCGGTGCTAATAAAATCAATTTAAACCTTGCCACCATCTCAAAAACAATTTAAAACATGCTTTGAAATCAAAGGGCATTACTATAATTTACTTACCTCAAATCTGTAATATCAGAAACTTAAGTCAAGTGCTCGGGTGACTAAACACTCAAGAACCTAATCAAAATACCCCAAAATTAATACCGTGCTACCACAAATTCAAAGTGAAAACTTCATTAGGATCACCCCCTAATCAAGATGCTATTTATATTAACCTCCACATGATCGAACACCTCTAATTTCATTCTTATTTTAAAAACTAATTATTTAATCCTATTCCATGATTGCCGACCATTAATCCCAATAGGCAAATTTTATTTCTTT